GTCTTGTTTTGTCGCATGTCCAAACACACAATAGCACGTCCGAAGCAATCTTTACTTTTTTTCACACGCAATTTAAGCGCGCTGTCGATTCGTTACACTCTCACGTCTCTGCTGCTATCTCTCATACCGTTCTCTCTGTCATCTCTCACAAGTGCACTTCTGTAGACGTCTATTTTTAACTCGTTCGCTCCAACATTGCTTGGTTGGAGGCATTTTCTTGTGATCACTATCTCGAAGAATAAAGCGCATTTTACGCTTCATTTCGGAATCAGAATTTGTGCAAAGGCACAGTCAGTTTCGGAAGATTAGGCGAATCAGATTGGCTTTCATCGCACACACAAAATCATGCTTCATTGTTCCAGTGATAGCACACTATTGCGAAGCGATCGATTCCACGTATGGACCGTTTTTATACTAAGACTTGTTCTAATAATAACAATACATCTGGCCACACATTTATGTCAAGGCTGTAACACATGCGAATTCTTCTTAGCGACGCTTGAAGGGTGCAACAGACCAGCAAGAGTGGACCTAAACTACTGGCCACATCAACCAGGATCCCGTCCTGCGGTCCTGCTAGCCTCATCATCTCTGAGTGCCAGTGGTAGCCACGATACGTATCTTTCTTTTCACGTAATAATCAATCGCTAATTTAATTCGTGCCACACACTGAATTGTTTTCGTTATGTAGAATTCTGTATACCTGGCCAGAGCATCGTTCTATGCAATTCGGCAGTGTCTCTTCTTATGCAGTAATTTAACCTGCGTGTCTCTTGATATATTCGATTTCTATACGCCTCCGCGTTGGTGGACTGGCTAGATGCAACGAAGCTGGAAATCGACATCGAATCCACTGCAACCTCAGCTTCTCTAAAGAAAATCAGAGATTGAATTCAAAATGACATAATGAAATAAAACCTGATACTAGATAGATACAAGTAACAACGTTGTAGCATATATAATTTAGCAGTAGCAAGAACTATTCGCCGACTTAATTAGTCGCCGACGTCGCATCTGCTTCGCGACTCGCAGATTTTTTAACGGAAAGCAGGGTTCTTTCCACGTTCTGTCTTGTGTGTGTGTGTGTGGAGCGTGGGAGTGTCGGGAGGTTCAGTGGGGGTAACAGGTTTATAGGGAAGGTTAGAGCTGCTTAGTATGTGCCATGATAAAATGGGACCGAGAGCTAGGCTTAAGTAATATTGACGGTTTAGTGATTACGAACTTAGAATGAATTCCGTTATTTGCAATAAAACTTCTATTTGCTAAATGTGCTGTTCCTTCACTAAAAAATGTCTGCCCAGCACTTTGTTCTCACTTTACAGGCGATTAACTTCCGAGTCCCAACCTTAGCGCAATCTAGCACAATAAATGACACTCTACGACATTCTGCTATCTGCAGAAGGCACGAAGACGATGAACCATACACTGCCCGTCACCGCAGTCAATTAAATATTATAAAAATGTGAAAATTGTCTCACAACTATTTCTTTCAGCCGTGTGACAGAGAACAGATCCACTATAAATTCCCATAGAACTAATCTTACCACATTGAATTCATGGCGATCGAAATCATATAGTCATTGCTTTCGCTGCGCTCTCTGCTTTCGGTGGCGTCTTGCTGCATGGTGCAATCAATGGATCTCTAGCTATGCTGCTAATGGTAACTTGTAGACTGTCGCA